AATTTTAAATGAGCTCATTAACGTGGCTCCTAATCCAATATGACTGGTGTCTTTGTAAGAAGAGATTAGGACATGACACACAGAGGGAAGACCATATGAAGACAGAGGGAAAAGATGACTGTCTACAAGTCAAGAAGAGAGGTCCTCAGAATTAATCAATGCTGCTGATACCTTATAGTTTGGAGGCTTTTAGCCGCCAGAACTGTAAGGAAGTCAATCTCTGTTGTGTGAGCTATCAGTCTTTAGTACTTTATTATGGCAGCTCTAGCAAACTAATACAGAGTCCTGTGTATCAACCTTTCCTCTTTCCAAAAAGCATTTCCTTGTCTCCATGCATCAGGTTGAGGTCTGTGTGACTAGTTCTTACCAAAAGACTGTAAATACAAGAAATATGCTTCATTTCTGAGCCAAGGCATTTACAAGCAGGTGTTGATTCTCCACTGTCTCTTGTTTCCTCCCCTGCCATAGGAACATCAAGACTGCATGTTCTAGACAGTGCAGTTACAAGACGGCAGAGCTCTGATAGCCTGGTGCCCTGAGTGCCTCTGTGGAGCAGGACACTCTGCTAACCTGCTTTGGACATAACATGTGAGTGATAAATAAATCTTTATATTTTATTTTTTATTTTTATTTTGTTTTATTATTTTATTTATTTATTTTTATTTTAAAAAATTTAAAGAAGGGTCTCACTATGTTGCCTAAGCTGGTCTCAAACTTCTGGCCTCAAGCAATCCTCCTGCCTCAGCCCCCTAAAGTGCTGGGATTATAGGTGTGAGCCACCATGCCCAGCCTCCTTCTATTTTTTAAGCTACTGAGGTTTCAGGGTTGATTTGTGACTGCAACATAGCCTAGCCACTTCTCTCACACAAAGCTGCCTCAGAAAAGCCAGGGTACCAAAAACAGATATTTCAGGAATTCATGTGATATTAGATAAAATCATACTAAGTTGTTTTTGTAGGCAAAAAATGGTCAGATATGGACAGTTCATTTGTGTGACCTCTAACTGCACATATTTGCAGACTCTCACAGTTGGAACAGACTTTGGCAACCAAGAAGTCCTACCATCCATAGTTTATAGATAATACATCTTTCAGATTAAATGATTTATCAGAAGTCCAAAAACATGTTAGTGGAAGAATTGGACCCCAAATCAGAAATTACATTTCATTTGGGGAAGGCAAGTTAGTAGTATGTATTTAAAAGTATATATCTGGCCAGCACGGTGGCTCACACGTGTAATCCCAGCACTTTGGGAGGTTGAGGTGGAGGATTGCTTGAACTTAGGAGTTTGAGACCAGCTGGGGCAACACAGTGAGACTCTCTCTCTACAATAATTAAAAAATTAGCTGGGCATGGTGGCGCATGCCTGTAGTCCCAGCTAATTGGGATGCTAAGGAGGGAGAACCGCTTGGTTGGGGAGGTCAAGCCTGCAGTGAGCCAATAATGCACTACTCCCCTCCAGCCTGGGCAACAGAGGGAGATTCTGTTTTTTTTTGTTTTGTTTTGTTTTGTTTTGTTTTAAGTATGTATTTAAATAGTAACCATGATCTTTCACATAATAATTCCACCCCTAGGAACAGATTCACCAGAAATATCTAAACAGGTATGCAGAAATATATAAACAAATGGATCCACTGTGTGATCTTTCACAAGTACTGTATGTGACTGTGAAAACTGAGAAATAATCCAAATGCCCATTCACAGGGATTGGTGAAATAAATTATGGTTTACCCATCTGCTCTCAAGCCCACATAGTTAAAAATAAAGGAGTCAATCTCTTCGCTGACATGAAAAGACACCCAGATCATATTGATAAAAGCAAGAAAGTCCAAGTAGAAAAAGAAAAGAAAATTACCACTCATAAAAGATTTTTTAATCTCTATGCACTGAGGTGTATAAAGTATCTGACACTTAGTAGGCACTTTTTGCCCTCCCCTTTTCTTATTTCTTGCATGTCACTTGGATCATTGTAAATACACCCAGCTGGCTGGTTCAGCTCCACCACCTACTAGCTGTGTCATCTCAGATAAGAAGCCTCAGTTCTCTCATCTGTAAAACTGAAAGAAATAACAGTGACCAGGCACGGTAGCTCATGCCTGTAATCCCAGCACTTTGGGAGGCCGAGGCGGGCGGATCACGAGGTCAGGAGTTCGAGACCAGCCTGACCAACATGGTGAAGCCCTGCCTCTACTAAAAATACAAAAATTAGCCAGGCATGGTGGTGCGCACCTGTAGCCCCAACTACTCAGGAGGCTAAGGCAGGACACTCACTTGAACCTGGGAGGCAGAGGTTGCAGTGAGCCGAGATCATACCACTGCACTACAGCCTGGACAACGGAGCAAGATTCTGTCTCAAAATAATAATAATTATAATAATAATAATAGCACATCCCTCAGAAGGTGTTGATAGGATTACATGAGAGTGTTTACATAAAGTGCTTAGTCCAATGCCTAGTGCCTAAGTACTTAAAAAATATTCACCATTATGATGATATTCATCTCTGAAAACCTGAAGAAACAAGGTTCTTTGTGGCTTCTTAATCTCTCATAATTATCTAGTAAAAAAAAAATTGTCATCCTGCTTATTTCCCTTCCCAAAGCTAAATTAAAAAGCTAAAGAGCAGTGTTATTTAAAAAGCAAATACATAATATATTGAATTTAAAATGTGTTTATTAACTGATTCTCCATAAATAAAAATAAGATGTGCATATAAAGTAAAAAAAAAAAAAAAAAGGCAGCGCTTATCTCAATAAGCTCTGGCAATATTAGGCATTCACTATTTAATACAGCTTTTAAAGACAATTTCACTATTTCATTACCAAGCTGATAAGCTGCTTTTCTGAGAAGTTGATATTAACTGAGTCATTCCCAGGTAAGTCAATTGTTTATCAGATATAATGTAAGGGGCCTTGATGGGCTCTGCAAGACACTGGGCTGTCTTCTACTGAGGGGTCGGTCTAAGGCTTCCCCTCCACTCATGCCTGTAACAGGGAGAGTGTGACTGGAATCTTTCAAATGCACAGAAAGGATGTCTTCCAGGATTATATAACCAAGCTCAAACTTTACCAGGACTTTCTATGTGAGATCCTTCCCAGTGCATTCTAAGCATTAACTAAACCAGTCAGGCTTACTTCCACCGATCTTTAAGACTGAATGATTTGTGTAGCCCTATAAACAGATTGGAATTAAAATTCAATTCACCCACTGATCTAGTATCTCTTCTGTCCATAAATGCTCTTTGGAACCAAGTACAATCTGTAGCAAGACTGCAAAGAACTAGTGAGCATTCATAGGCTAAGTCTGGCAGATTACTGCCAGAGTGGAATCAATCCAGAATTAAAGGCTCTGAGCCTTCCTGGCAGCTGAGGCCAGGACAGGTTGTACAGCTTGCCCAGAGTTTCACAACTGGTCAGTGGTACCGGTGGCGCTTGGAATCCAACTCCCTGGCCTCCCGATCCATGTTCTTGCCACTGCTGATGAATTGTCATTCTTCTGTTTTTGCTTCTTGGAAAACCGAACCTCTACAAAGTTAAAATAACTTATTCAAGGTCAAGAGGGCAGTCAAGTAGAACTGGTAATGCGAACTGCTGCGTTATAAAATCCAAGAGGGCGGGTCCTCTGGCCCTCGCCTCCCCCCGTCCCCGGGACCCTGTGTAAATGTTTTCCTTGATTGTCTCTCAACACACAGTTTAGAGGAAGTCTCTCTTCTAGGTTAGCACTGCACATCCAACTTCAGGTTCAGACAGAAGCACCTGTAACTATCAGCCAGCGCGCCTCCAGCTACCCTGACCTCCCGACCGTGCAGGGAAGGCAACCTGGGCAAATAACCACCGCTCAACTGCGGGGATCTTACAGTCCTAGTAACTCACACCTCGCCGCCAGCAGTGTTTTTCTGGAGCTGGCAACCTGGGGACAGGTAAACTGGTGTCAGACTGAGCCAGAAGCAGAATGGATGGGCACAGTTAGTCTTGAGGGTATAGAGGAGTCTGTGGACGGTTCAAGGCTTCTAGCCAAGCCTTTGCAAAGGCAGCTGCAAGCCTCAACTCTACCAACAGTCCGCAGGAGCACAGTTACTTTGATCCTGGTAACTAGGTGCATTTCAGGGGACACTCTGAACGCTCAGCAGAACGCCCCCAAGTTCAGAGTGGCAGCGCCACCTGCGCACCTTCCCCCTTGCACTAAGCGCCCCTCCCTATCACAGACTGTTCTCCCGCGCCCTTTCCTGCGATCCCGCAGCGTGGGATCCTTCTTTGTACACACGTTCCATCTCTCCCTTTCCTTCTTTCCACCTCCAAACATCCCTTCCCACAGGGGATGAGGCGGGTGGTTTAGTCCACGCTCCGTCTATTCACCCAGCGAGCGTTGTCCCTAGAACTTAGTGCAAGGGGAGGGGTAGGGGTGGGCGTGGAGGTGGGGGTAGGGGTGGGTGCCCCATCGCAGAGTCCCGAGCGCTGGAGCTAGGCACTGAGGTGCGCGTGCAAACACACACACACACACACACACACACACACACGTGTACACACCCAAGGCTGGGGCTGCCGGCGACTCACTACTCGGAAGGGGAGGCAGCTTTGTAGCCACTAGAAGCATGAGGAGGAAAGCAGGGGCCCCACCGTCCACGCCTGGGAAGCGTGGAAAACACTAGGCGCAACAGGAGCCGGCGGAGCTGGCCCAACAGAGAAACAGGTCCAGCTCCTGCTCAGAAGCACCAGGTAGACGCGAACAGCGGCCGTCTGTGGTCAATTATTATTAGGAATAATAAACCTGATGGTTACACTAGACGCTCGAGGTGCTTCCCGCCTGGAAAGGAAGGAGGTAGTTGGCACTAGGACACGGAGGGACTAAGGGCGAAAAGAAAAGAAAAAAAAAAAGCCAGTCTAACACCTGGATGTCTGAAAGGGGGCCCTGGAGCCAGCTCTGGGCTTGTGCCCAGTGGCCGGGTGCCCAGGTGCGAGGGGGCGGCCGAGGGCTGCGCGGTCCCCCGTGCCGGGGGGCTCACCTGGCGCGCGCTGGGTGGGCAGTGCAGCTGGTCCATACCGGAGGCCGGCGGCTGCTGGGCGCCCTGGCGGTGTCGGTGCCCGGCGCCTTAGCCCCGCACAGAGGGCACCAACCGGTGCACCCTGCACCCCACTCCCCGGGCCTCGTGCCCACGTGAAGGCTCTGGTTGCTCGGTGGGACTCTGGCCGCTAGCCTGAGCCTCCGCGCCGCGCCTTCACTTTCCAGACGCGTCCCCAGGCCGGCGGGTGCCTGGGTCCTAGCGCCCCTCCCGGGGTGTGGAGCCCAGACTTTGAGCCCGCTGAGCTGCTCCGCTCCGGGCAACACCTTCCCGGCCCCTCAAGAGAAGTCCAGCATCGCTGGAGCTGCCAAACCTGGAGCCTTTCTGGGGACTCAGGATTCGGGTTCCCAACGCCCCCTCTACAGGTCTCCACTTTCCTCTCGTTGGGCCTTTACTCCCAAGAAAATGCTGAAAGATCAGATTTGCCTGCATCCCTCAACTCACAATCATATACACTATAATTTTAAAGAGACTTTCAAGTTAGAGATATTGGTGTGTGTGTGTGTGTGTATGTGTGTGTATATATATATATATCTCACATCATATGTAAGAAAGACAGTTTTTCCTCCAAGTAAAAGAATGAATATGAAAATAACATCTCCTGGGTGCGGTGGCTCAGGCCTGTAATCCTCACACTTCGAAAGGCCAAGGCGGGAGGATCTCTTGAGGCCAGGAATTCAAGACCAGCCTGAGCAACATAAGGAGAAAAAACCTTGAAAAAAATCTATTAGGGGCTGAAATAATCCCTCAGCCTTAATTGTAGGGACAATTTACAAACATGAGTCAAACACGGATCAAACCAAAGGTGCAGCTAGGCTTCTAGAGCCGCCCCCCACCCAGCTCCCCTCCAATCTGTGTAGGTAGCTGGTATCACTAAATGTCCAAGCAGATACTATGAAGCTTTCATACACTTTCAGGAAGTAATACATTGTACCTAATTAAATGCCTCAGCCTTAAACGGTCCTGGCATCTTGCTTGAGGCCATTATCACGCCTGGCCCATACCTGGCTCCTCTGGGGTGGAGGGATTCCGAACAGAGGCCTCCAGAGCATTTGCAAGGCCTTTCCCTTGTCGGCTGCCCACAGTGCTGAGTCAGCCCAGCCAAAACCAAGACCAACAACAATCTGTTCCTGCTGACTTTCTCATCCAGAGAGAAAGTCTCATTAGATGAGATTTCTAATGGCAGAAAAGAAAATCAAGTCATTTTTAGAAATAAAACAAGAGGAAAAATTATTATTTTTAACATTAGCCATAAAGGCCTACAAAAAGGCAGGAATTCAGTATGAACATGGCCTTCACCACCTTCTTCTAGGAACCCAAGCATTTTTTCACAAAAGCATTCCTCCATGTGTGGACAAACTTTAAGATGACTCCCAACGATCCCCATCACCTGGTGTCCATGCCCTTGTGTTGTCCTCCTCCCCTTGAGTATGGGTAGAACTTGTGACTTGACTTGCTGCCCACCTATGGAACAATGGCAAAGGGGACCAAATGTCACTTCATAGATTAGGTTATACAGTTTTGCTAGCAGAGGCTTTCTCTTGCTGGCTTTCATAAAGCATGCAGACATATTGGGGAGGCCCACCTGGCAGGGAACTGAGGGTGCCTTTGTTCAAGGGTCCTGGGTCCAACAAACTGAAAGGAGGTAAATTCTGCCAACAATCAGGAGAGCCTGAAAGTGAACCTTTCCCTAACTGAGCCTTGAGATGCAACTGCAGCTCCGGCTGAGATATTGATTGCCGCTTTCAGAGTAATCCTAAAACAGAGGATCTAGTAAAGACATGCCCAGGCTCTGACCCACAGAAACTGTGAAATAATAAATAAGTGTTGTTGTAAACCACTGAATTTGTACTTTGTTATGTAGCAATAGCAAACGAATATACTTTGTCCTTCCACAGAAAGAAAAGTGAGGCAAAGGGAGGTTAGGTAGAAGGGCCAAGGTGATTTAAATTAACGGCATGATCTATCATTCTTTCACATCATAGTATTTTTAGGCCTGGGTAGACAAGGAAAAGCAGAACAGCAAAGAAATCAGAAAGTAAAGCATCAAGTGCAGGTTGAGATTTGTGGAAGGTAAAGCAAGGCAAAAAGAAAAACTTTAATAAAGTCTGATGCAAAAACAACCCAACAGGTTAAAGGACAGTTTGAAAAACTCAGGGTACACTGACCCAGGTTAAAAATAAATGTTTTCTGAAAGAAAAATAAGTAAGTTAAAAGGAAAACAAAAAAGACAAAAACAACACAGAGAGGTGATGAGGAAGGATAAAGGCACCAAATCCTCTGAATTCCTCTTCTCACTATGTATAAAAGAAAAAGGAAAGCCATACTATTCACTCCCAAGAGAGTGAGGATTTTCCAGAAGAGCCAGTTAAGAAGTACTAGGAGGATGTCTGCTTAGTACATGTCTGTGGCAACTGGGAGTTTGTCTATTTTTTCCCGAGATATTGCATAAAAATTGACAGTATCTTAAAACCACTAGCCTGAGTTCTGATGGTTTGCACGTACAGTAGTCCCCACTTATCCACAGTTTAAGTTTCTGCAGTTCAGTGACCCACAGTCAACAGTGGTCCAAAAAGATTAAATAGAAAAATTCCAGAACAAACCATTGATAAGTTGTAAATTGCATGCCATTCTGATAACATCTAGAGGTGTCCTGCTTCCATCCTGCCCAGAATAGGAATCGTCCCTTTGTCCAGTGTCTCCATGCTATATCCCCTACCTCCACCACATCCCTGTGAGTCACTGAGTAGACACCTTGACTATCAGTTTTCCTGTTGTGGCATTCCAGTGCTGGTGTTCAAGGCACCCTTATTTTATTTAATAATGGCCCCAAAGTGCAAAAGCAGTGATGCTGGCCATTCTATATACCAAAGAGAAGCTGTAATGCACTTCCTTTAAGTGAAAAGGTAAAAGTTCTTGACTTAATAAGGCAATAAAAAAAATTGTATGTTGAGGTTGCTAAGACCTACAGTACGCTAAGATATTTTGAGAGCTAGAGACCACATTCACGTAATTTTTATTACAGTCTATTGTTATAATTGTTTTATTTTGTTATTTGTTATATTGTCACTCTCTTACTGTGCCTAATTTACAAATTAAACTTTATCATAGGTATGTACGTATAGCAAAAAAACATAGTGTACACAGGGTTCAGTACTATCTGTGGTTCCAGGCAGCCACTGGGAGTCCTGGAACATATCCCTTGTGAATAAGGGGGAGATACCGTATTTGTTAGGTTTTAAGTGTCTTTAGATGCCTCATGTTTAAACATGGTTTTTTTTCCTCCACTCCTGCTATCATACAGTGAAACAGAGCCCAACACTTAACCCGCTGGATATTTATCACCTACCATGCACCTTGAAGAGACTATGGAGTGGTAGAAGATTTTAAAAGAGGAAACAAGAAGGGAGAGAGAAAGAGGAAGAAGAAAGAAAAAGAAGGGACAGGAGGAAGAAAGAGAAGGAAAGGGAACTGAAGCAAAGGGAAGGAAGAAAAGAAGGAAAAGAGAAAAGAAACCAAAGGCACAGAATTCCAAGTCTAGCTGGGGGTGGGGCTGGGGTATCTAAAATTGCACACTGAAGCTCTGTTCTCACGATCCCCATGGCCTCCTGGATAACTCCAAGTATGAGTTCCATCAATATCACACAATGAAAGCTTCTGAACCATAAAGCATCATCTCCCTACCAAATCTGATTCCTAGTGGTTCATGCTACTAGCAACTCTCCAAATTCAAACCATGGCCATCTGTTCTTCTCCCTTGTTCTCCATATCAACCAGCCACCACTTCCATTACTGCGTCACTGCTTTCTGTCCGTCCCTTTGCACCCCTACCACCAGGAGGGAAACAGGCTCAGTGTGGGCCCCTGTCCTGTCCCTCTGGACCAACCCAGGCGAGTAGGTAGTAGCCAACATGACATCATCCAACTGAGATGTGCCAAAGAATCCACCCTCCTCCTGCTCATGCCCATGAATATCTCCTCCACCCACATTTGACAGGGCTTGAAATGTCCTTAAAATGTTTTTTTTTAATTGCTTCGGCATTGCTCTATCCTTAAGTTTAAAAACTGTAAATGTTTCTATTTTGCAGTAACTCTTTGTGCCTTTAAAACCTTCATAAGACTCTGTTGATCACTCTCTTCTTCCTACACTGCTTCCTTGGGAAGGGTAGACAGTGCTGGGGTGATGGAAAAGGGCAGCAAAAGCAACTTCACCCCATTCACAGCTTTGCCTATGGTGCTGCACGTCTAGTTGTTTGGAATATGAGTGGGAGTGAGGTGGCTTTCACATGACTGGTGGCTAGTTGGTTTCTGGTCACCCTGGATGTGCAGTGGAATCTACCTGCTTCCAATGTATAACTCAACAAGCAAAGATATGGGAAAAGAAGAAAATAGTTTTCTAAGAGGAAACAAATAGAAGCCCAACCATTCAGGACTGCAAGAGCAGCAATTATCTACTGATAACCCCATTCTGGTTTCACTGATGAGGTTAAAACAAATGGGATGCACCATTTAGGTTCTCTTGAACAGGTTTTCAGTTTTTCTTCTTCAAAGATTGAAGATGTTGATGACGCTAACAAGCTAACATATATAGGTATGTGTGTATCTATATATATAGATACACACATTTATATACATGCATATATATAAATCGGTGGTGAGGTATTTTATCACAGAGGCAAATTTATGCAATTATATATTCATTCATTGACTCAACAAATATTTTTGAGCAACTACTATATGCCAAGAATTATTTTAGGTGCTGAGGATAGATCTGTAAGATAAATTTGTAAGATGAATCCACACTTGTCATGATGCTTACATTCTAGTGGAGGAAGAGAGACAATTAGCAAGAAAAGAAAACGATCATTGTATCATGATCTGAAGATAATAAAACAACTTACTGTAATAGAGAGAAGCTGAGGTAGAGTCCACTTTAGTTTGGAAAGCCAGAGAAGGCTTCCCTAGGAGGGGACATTTAAACTGGCACGTGAATTATCCCAAAGGAGCTGGAAATGCAAATATCTGGGGAGAATAGGATTCTAGGGAAGGGAATTGCAAATGCAAAATCCTTAAGGCAGGAAAAAGCTTGGTGAGTTCAAGGAAGTGACAAGAGTCCAGGCCAGGGAGGAGGCCTTGGGAGAATTTTAAGCAGAGAAGAAACACAACATAATTTGCTTT